GGGACCATGGGCAGAAGGGAAAGGAGGGGATGAATGAATTCACATAATGCCAAATCCCTGTGATAAGAACATAGATAGTAAAGAAAGCACCCAGGTCCTTTTTAATGAAGATGTGATCATACACACTTCTCCCTACACCATGTATTTCTGGTAAATAAAACAAGCTCTCATAGTTCAGCCTTTGTTCCATATTATGATGAGAAACATAGAAGCCTGTTCTCTATAATTAGGTTACTAGCAGGCAATTTGGTCAGATGAAGAGTCTCTGTGAATAGATAACAAGTAGGACTTTCACAGATTAGACTCAAGGATGAAATTAAAAGGTGTCTGGCCTTGTTAAATCACGATCATTCAGAGACTGAATAGCCCTGTTCTTTCCCCAACAGCAGGTGATAAGGAGACTCAGTGTTCACCTGCTTTGATCCTTTAGCAATTAACAATTTGTAGGAACATTCTAACCTCAGTTCATGACACAAGATACGAGGCTCAATTAACCAACTGTCTATGTTTAAGTGCTGATATTTACATGATTAACAGGAAGGAAAAAGCTGTTAATCGACTAACCATGTCCAGAGAAAATTAGCTTTATGCCTAGTTACAGTGAGAAAGGCTACATAGATGGCCAGAATTACAGGGAGATGGCCTGGCTTCATAGCATTGAACAAAAAAGTTACACGGTTCCCTCCATGCTCTGGTTACAGGACAGAAAATGTATTTTTATATCTGAGACATTTCATCTCTGCCAGCCAGCCTTTGGCAAAAGCTCTGATGCAAATCAATGCTGCTCACTTCCCCTTGTGATTTACACAGGTCGCCATGATTACACAGCCATAATTCTGTCCATTGGTTATTTGCATTTGGCTCCTAGCATCTGGGCTGCAGCAGGACTCTCCTGCTGGAAGCTCCAAAGAGAAACTGACAGCTTTGCCACAGAATGTTAACCTATAATGTTAAATACACTTAAGGAATGTAATCGTTTAGCCTTTGCCCTTGTAACCTCTTAGGCTGATCACCTTAGGAAGTTAGTGTACAGCCAAAAATCCCCCTTTTACATCCACAGCTGCAGCTGCCCACTACAGGAAGTTGGCACTTATATAAGGAATGCTTTGTGACCCTGAGAAGAGTTTTCTGTAACCCTTTTTACTGCCTAAAATTGCTGTTAAATGTGTATATAAGCTGTGAAGAGAAAGTTGAAGCAGAATAAAAGAACAGGACCCAAACAGTTCGTGTGTGAATTTATTCCATTTTTACCCCTCAGGTAAAGTGCCAAATTAGTTTTCACTACGCTGTGGTTTATTCTACAAATCCTCTGTGTAGAGCCTTGGAGCTAGACTCCATGGCATACTTTCTACCCAAACTTATAGGACACAATGAAAGTGGTGCTAAAAAGAAAGTTCATACCACTAAATGCTCACGCACTTGGGAGGCAGAAGCAGACAGATCTCTGTGAGTTCGAGGCTAGCCCAATCTACAGAGCTAGTTCCAGGACAGCTAGGGCTGTTACACAGAGAAACCCTGTTTCGAAAAACCAACCCCCCACCCCCCGCCACATACACCACTAAGTGCTCACATAAAGAAATGGGACAGATTTCACACTAGCCACTAGCATCATACCTGAAAGCTCTAGAACAAAAAGAATCAAGTTTACTCAAGAGAAGCAGATTGCAGAAAACAAACTGAAGA